CTGATAAAAACACTTCTAGTTTCGAGTCACAGAAAAATGGGACTCTTTTTCATAAGCAGCGTGCTGTAACGGATAAGTGTTTTTATTATTTGCAGTTCCATATAGTTATATTTTGATTATTATATGAGAGACTCTGAAACTGGTTATTAGGTTTTTAATGGGTGACAAACACAACAGTCAGTCTGTTTACTGCAAGCAAATGTATTCATATGCCCCAGTTAAAAGCATTTCGTTACAAAAATCTAAATATAATACGAATACCATATTAAGTTTGCTAACTTATTTCTTAGTAAAAATCCTCGAATTTTACAGCGGGTTGGCATTTGGAGTTTCTGTCGAACATGCAGAGTATTATGCGCCAGTAATGTAAAAAGTGAATTTTATACTTATGCATGAACATTTTCCAGCGACTCGCTCTCGACATGCATCGGGAAGAAGTACCTCCGGGCACTATATGCATGTAGACAGGGACGGATTTCGTTAAGCAGAACCTGCAAAGATGATTTGTTAAAGAACAATTTATAAATTTATGAAAATGGTTCCTAATGAGTAGATAAAAACTATCATTTAAAAAAGAATTAGTGCAAAATTAAACATGTAGTTCGTTGGAATCTAAGTACTGCAAAAAATCTTAATGCTCAAGAAAATAATTGAGCAATTTGGTATCTACTACTTAAAACGAAATACTTATTCATTATTACTTTCGCTTGTTTAACGGATTCAGAATAAGTATACATAATACCAACGCTAGCTACCCTAAATAACAAACACTTATTTTCAATTAACTGTAATATCTAGAAATGCCTAAAAGAAATATAACTCATTTATATTAATTGCGATGTAGAGGCAGCTGTAATTAGTTATTTAATATCAGTAGCGAACTGAGCCTTAAGCTAATGGGTATTAAGGTTATAATAATTTAGGGAACAGAGAGTATAGTTCCCTAAGATCGGAAAAGGAGGATCCTCCGACCAGGCGAGGTGATCGTGCCTGGCGGGCTTTCTGCCCAACAGTTGTTCGTTGGGATTTTCTATCCGTGTTTATTCGCTTGTAAACTTTGCATGTGCGATGTAGGATTCTTGTGACGTCATCCGTTGACATGTGGCATGCGTCGCCACATCACTCCCTCCCAAGACCGGAGGTCGATCCCGCTGAGACGGCTGTCGATGCTTGAGATGAGTGGCGCCAGAGCCAGTGTAGAACGTCCCTAGTTCCAGTGGGTCGGAACCGTGCCGCTGAGTGCCCAGTGAGTCGGGTCAGCGGTGCAGGGTGAAACTCCAGTGAGTCGGAGAGATGAGTTCGCAGTGTCCCACGGTGAGTCGGGGAAGAGATGCTGCGAGGGTAGGTGCGTAGTGGCCGGCATCTGCGTTGACGGGAGGAGATGTCCTTCAGAACCGTGTGCAGAAGTGCTGTGCCTAGACGCTGGTGAGGCCGTAGGGAAGAACCAGGCTGCACAACTTCGTTGCAGGTAATGGTGGTCCCTGATGAGGCCGAGGATGCTGGTTGGCTGCGACTTGGTTACCGCTCAGCGGAGAAGTGATGAATGAGAGGGATGGCGATACGGATGACGGTGCTAATCTGCTCCGTTAAGTGAAGGTTGTTTTCCAATCACGTCGGGGTCACCACTTTAGGGAACAGAGAGTATAGTTCCCTAAGATCGGAAAAGGAGGATCCTCCGACCAGGCGAGGTGATCGTGCCTGGCGGGCTTTCTGCCCAACAGTTGTTCGTTGGGATTTTCTATCCGTGTTTATTCGCTTGTAAACTTTGCATGTGCGATGTAGGATTCTTGTGACGTCATCCGTTGACATGTGGCATGCGTCGCCACATAATAATAATAATAAGCCCGCAGGGCACCTTGAGGCGAGGTGACGGGCATTAGCGATCCCGCGGGCTACCAACATCCCGAGTGCTCCAGGGAGAGGTCACCGTTCCTTCTTCTCCGGCTTGCCTTAATTGGCTGGCTGGAGTGAACGATGACAAGGAACAGGTCTCCCACCTCTGGCTTGCCTTCATTGGCCGTCCAGAGTGGAGTCGCGAGAGCAGTGAACCTGCTCGGAGGGTAAGAAACTATTCGTAAGTCGCGAGTGGGCCAGGGATGCAGGAGGCTTCGGCTGGAGCAGATGATCTGAGTAGAAAGCGGTGGTAGTTTCTTAACCCTTCAGCCACTCACATTCTCGTTGCCCCTCTGTTGCTATATCTAGCAACCATTCCCGGGGCCCGGTTGGTGAGTTGGCGAGTCTCCGCCTGCCATTTGTACGTGTAAAAATTACATTGTTTCGGCAGGTGCCATAGTCAGCCATAGTTCCCAATTTACCAGTCCACAGCAACCCATCCATACCCTACCTTTTTTTTTTTTTTTCATTATTCACAATAGTTCTACACTAACCGGGACTGTCCTTGGGTGCATTTCCATAGTGCATACAGGGATAGTCGCCGGTTTGTGTGTCCATTACATTTAGATTAAAGTTGTTCTAAGGGCCTCTGCGCAGTTGGCTTCGGCCCCTCGTACGCCTCCCAAATGACCGGGACCCTGTGGTCCCGTGAATGGTAAAGACATAATAATAATAATAATAAGCCCGCAGGGCACCTTGAGGCGAGGTGACGGGCATTAGCGATCCCGCGGGCTACCATCATCCCGAGTGCTCCAGGGAGAAGTCACCGTTCCTTCTTCTCCGGCTTGCCTTAATTGGCTGGCTGGAGTGAACGATGACAAGGAACAGGTCTCCCACCTCTGGCTTGCCTTCATTGGCCGTCCAGAGTGGAGTCGCGAGAGCAGTGATCCTGCTCGGAGGGTAAGAAACTATTCGTAAGTCGCGAGTGGGCCAGGGATGCAGGAGGCTTCGGCTGGAGCAGATGATCTGAGTAGAAAGCGGTGGTAGTTTCTTAACCCTTCAGCCACTCACATTCTCGTTGCCCCTCTGTTGCTATATCTAGCAACCATTCCCGGGGCCCGGTCGGTGAGTTGGCGAGTCTCCGCCTGCCATTTTTACGTGTAAAAATTACATTGTTTCGGCAGGTGCCATAGTCATCCATAGTTCCCAATTTACCAGTCCACAGCAACCCATCCATAGCCCTACCTTTTTTTCCATTATTCACAATAGTCCTACACTAACCGGGGACTGTCCTTGGGTGCATTTCCATAGTGCATACAGGGATAGTCGCCGGTTTGTGTCTCCATTACATTTAGATTAAAGTTGTCTAAAGGGCCTCTGCGCAGTTGGCTTCGGCCCCTCGTACGCCTCCCAAATGACCGGGACCCTGTGGTCCCGTGAATGGTAAAGACATACATAATAATAATAATAATACGTTTATTTGTTAGAATATTGTTACAAAGGTGTTACAAATAAATTAATGTTCTGAATATTCTGCTGTTTCCAGCGTACAAATATTAAAAGTTAGAATTAAAATAAGACAGGTAAAAACATACAATCAAAAATAAAAAATTGCATAATATGGACGATTAGTTATCACAATGTAGTAAAATTATTTTCGGTACAAAATTAAGATTATTCTTACAATTTATTTGAAGGATAATAAAAAGTCGTCTAGGTTGAATTTAGAGTTAAATTTTTCATTCAAAAAATCATTTGTTGAATAATAACATTTATGCAATAGAAAACAAAACAGCTTCTTTTTAAATTCTATAAGATTAAGGCTTTTAAAATCATTTGGTAATTTATTATAAATACGAATTGCCATACAGTATACATTATTAGAAAAAAGTTGAATTCTTTGTTGTGGTACACATAACTTATGAGTATGTCTGCTTTTTCTTATTACAACATTATTATGTGTTTGAAATAAACCTATATTTTTATGCACAAAGATACACAGTTCGAATATATACAGAGATGGAAGTGGTAGAATTTTTAACTTTTTAAAGAGTGGAACACAGCTATGTAGTGGGTCGACTTTACACATGGAGCGAATACATTTCTTTTGGGCTCGGAATGCTTTAATAATGTCTACGGAGTTGCCCCATACTATGATGCCGTAGCGGAGAATAGATGCTACGTATCCGTGATAGGCACAAAGTGCTGCATTGAGACCGGCTATCCGTGTTATCCTATGTAAGACGAATACAAATCTTTGTAGTTTAGTGCATAATTTGTCAATGTGTATTTTCCAGTTACAATATTTGTCCAATGTTATACCCAAAAATGTTGTAGCTTCGACTTCCTCTACAGCGCTATTCGCATATTTTATTTCCAATTTCTGACGTTTATTATTATAAGCCTGTTATTTTACTATCGCGTATTTATTTTGTTTGTATTCGTATTTTTGGCCAGAAAAGAAAAATCTGTGTCACAAAACACAAAGTATCTTAATTATTACGAATACAGTATTTTACAGTCTGGTATTGCCTCGTATTTTTTTTTGTATTAGACGTTTTCAATTTATTTTTCTTGCTTGCAGATATTCGCTAATGCTATACGATTTGTTTGAATATATTTTCTTGCGCAAATATGGTGAAACTAACACAAACAGATGTAAAGAAAACAGAAATCCAGCAAGATTTTATATTTCTTTGCTAACCATGCTACAGGTGCTTAAAATAAAAATATTTTACGACAACACGCCGTCTGTTTATTTTGCGTTGACGCGTTACACCGTCGCATCGCATAGGCTTGCCTTAATCCGGCCCTGTTAACACCCATATTTTTCGCGAATATTCCTTTACAGGCGCCCCAGTATCTCCCAAGGGCTTTAAATGTTGTTTTTTTATTTAAAACAAGACCTTACTTCGCCTCCAAACGAGATGTTTTTCTTATGCAAATTGTGAGAGGCGTGAATTAAATACTTCTATCAAGATGTTCCCCTTATCTATGTTGGATACCTTTGGAACTTTTGAAAGTGTTAAAGATACCGAGTTTTCGGTTTCTATATTTAGAAGTTGTTAGCTGTATATAATCCTGTAATACTTTTAACTTCGTACTTTACTGTTTACCTCATCAAAGATATCTTTAACAAAATTTGAAGTTTGGACACTTTGGTTTTCATTGTTTTAACTATTGAACTAACTTTTCTTTGAAATTATGTGTTTGCATTGTGGCTTTGTTAAACAGTTGTTTTTATCAATCGGGTATCTATTCCAACTTTTATATAGGTATACAAATGATGAAACTTCTGAAATTTGAGACGTCTAATTTATTTTTACTATTCTTTGTTCTCAGGAGGTCTATTGTCCCTCGGCAAAGTCCTCAACTTCTTCCCGGTGGGAGGAGAGCGGGAGTGCCAGCCGGAGGGCCACAATATCGCGAAGGCAGGAATCTGCATCAACCAGTACGATTGTCGACAGAGGGACGGCAGAGCTTCAGGGGATTGTGCGGACGGGCTCGGCGTGTGCTGTGTTTGTGAGTAAAATACATAATTATTATTACATTGACTAGACTGAGGCGTTAATAAGCAAAAACGTTTCAATGTTTTTGCTGCCATTTTTCTGACATATGATCTTCTGATTAACTTTAACGTCTGTATCATTGATTAATGTTTATGTCGGATTAAACTGTCAAACACCAAGCGGTCACCGGTGACCGCGACCTATTGTTCTTTAATTGTGTCTATAAAACCGGTACTCGACGAGTTAAAGAATTCGAACAGCGAGATTCGACGAAAGGCGACGTTCCTATTACAAATAGAGGAATCTCACTTTTCTAAAAAAATATATTAAATAAGTTGTAAGTAATAAATTTTCTAATTCCTTATATTTTTTCACTCTCATTGACATCTCAAATTCCAATGAACCGTAGATAAAATAAAACTGAAGTTTCAACCTTTGTCTGACTGACAAGAAAATCTGCCACTGAAACTTAATAAGTACTAACTAACAAAATATCTGACTCCCAAATGTTGCGAGGAAATCTTGCATGGCAAGCAATTAGCTGGTCTTGGAATATTTTCTCTATATTTCCTGTGTACCTATTGTTGCTTGTAGGAACTTATTACATTTGCAAGCATATATTTATACGTAATCTCACTGTTAATGTTAATAACGTATATTATTAAGAGGATCTGCTACTTCTAACTTCTGCTTATTTTAACACAAAGTAGATTCGAAAATATTGTGTCCTAAGAAAGTATTATTTATTGTCTATTGTGATTTTGAATTTTTTATTTAGGTGTGTGACATATAATAGATAACTGTGATTTGTGTTTTCAGATAATAAGCTATCACTATTCTTTTTTCTCTGAGTCTAACCGAGCAGACGGATCACCTGATGGTAAGCAATCAGCATCGCCCACATCTGAAACACCAGACGCGTTACAAGTGCGTTACCAGTCTTTAGGGAGTTAGGAATTTAAGGAATGTTGGGGATACAGGGATTGGGGAGATTGTGCACCACAAGATTAGTAGGCCTCCGGTAACCTCACTCATACGACAAAACAGAATACAAGCGTTGCTTCACGTCAGTTTTCTTTGAGGCCGTGGTATCACTCCGGTCGAGCCGGCCACTCTCGCACTTAAATTTTTCAGTGTTGATCAATTGATAAAAAGAATAAGTACGCAGTTTAGGACACTGTTATTACATCTACATTCTACACTTTAACTTCCATTCAAGACTCATGAATATGAAAAAAGTAGAACTGTTCAAAATAATTTCCCTTTATAAAAACTTTTCTATGTAGTTATAAAATCACCTTTGACTGCCTCATTGGCCGAGTGGTCCCAAGTGCGACTGCCGGGCAAGGGGTCTCGGGTTCAATTCCCGGGTCGGGCAAAGTATTACTGGGTTTTAAAAAAATTCTCAGTAGTAGCACGGCGTCTGGAACTGTGCCTGGTATTTGGCAATAGGCTCGCCCCCTATTACATGGGACTCATAATAAAATAGTGAAAAGTGGGTGTTACTTTGTACAGTCGCCTAATGTGCACTTCTGCCTACCCCTTCGGGGATAAAAGGCGATGTTATGAAACCAGTACCCACACAGTAAGGTAACTAAACCTATAAACGAATGTTTCATGTCAATTCCTAGTTCCTCAAGTCTGACTTCCAACAGCCACTTACCATAAAAGATAGGGAATGGCAGACAACGATTGAATTTCCGTCACTATGTACGGTTTTATTGAAACATCTAGTCTTTATTGTTTTGATATAAAGTCGAAATTACAATGAAAAAATTAATAGATTTGGATGCTGTCTGACTTTAATATCTGTTGTTGTCATGATGTAGTTAAATAATTTTTGAATAGATATTAAACCAAAATGTGAGGTTCCTTAATTTTGAATTTCTCAATATGTAGTTCACTACATAACGCATGGAAGTGCTGTTATTGGTTAATTTTACTATTCCCATATATGTGTCTTAGAATAGTATAATATTTGTCTTTTAGAATAGAGTAATGGAAACCTAATTTGGTAATCAAATAGTAAAGATAAAATAAGTTACATACTTTAAAGTTAAGACGAGAATGTAATATTCCTGTCTTTAAACTGTCGAACACCGCGAGGACACCGCAACCTATTGTTCTTTAATTGTAATAATTAAATTTATACAGACATCATTTACCTACGTAAAGTCAAACATTAGCTTTAAAGACAGATTATTACGAAGAAGCAACAACACTGCACTGAATAGAAAGCTCATGCTGAGAAAATTTAACAAAAGCAATATATCAAATCTCTTTTAATTTACAAGTACTAAAAGTGATGGCTAATTTTGTACAGTTTTCAGTCTGTTGTCAGATTTTACGACTAAGACTAGCTTTCACGCGCAGAACATAATATTATTGACATGCATAAGCTGTGGTTTACGACACATTGTTTACAAAACTCCTTAGAATTTCTATGCTAAACTACACTAAGACTTATATCTAAAATAGTGTCCAGGTTTGTGATAGAAACTGTTAAGAAAATAATGAAATTAACTTTACAGGAGGAACCGGTTAATACATGTAACGATACTTGATTTTCCACTGAACTTTGGGCACAATCAATTACTAATTCCGTGGTATAAATGAGAATTAAAAAAGACCTAAAATTTCAGTTCTAGTTTGCTTCAACCAGGATAGCGTTAGCGTTAGCGTCTTGTGTGCATCAAGTTGTAGGTGTCCTGGTGAGCGAAGTAAACTTTCACGACTCGATTGATTTATATACTAGGTATCAAAAACGTATTTTTTTTATGGCATAAGCCGGTAAACTAACAGACGGATCACCTGATGGTAAGCAATCGGCGTCGCCCATGGACACCTGGAACACCAGAGGCGTAACAAGTGCGTTACCGGCCTTTTGGGGATTAGGAGTTTGAGGATCGTTGGGGATTCAGGAATTGGGGAGATTAGGGAAGGGCAGGGTAATTGGGCTTCCGGTAACCTCACTCACACGACGATACACAACGCAAGCGTTGGTTTACGTCGGTTTTCTGTGAGGCCGTGGTATCACTCCGGTCGAGCCGGCCCATTCGTGCCGAAGCATGGCTCTCCTACACTTAAGATTTTCTTTATCTTAGTTCAGTAGCCGTTTCTTGATAACCATTAATATTAAATTGTCTACAAAACCTTTATGCGCACAGAAAAGATAGTAATATCGTAGTCAAATATAATAAAGAAAATAAACTGCGGTATCTTATTCGAGGAAATATTGTGAAAGCACACAATTATATTGGAAACAAAAAAAATGTTGGTAATATTATCTGGATTACTGGAATCTGTAGGCAGAACCTTTTCTTCGGTTTTGTTTATAGTCTTATAATCTCTATATTACATAACATAACATCACGCCTTTTATCCCCGAAGGGGTAGGCAGAGGTGTACATTATGCCACTGTACAATGTAACACTCGCTTTTCACTACTTATGTTATGAGTCCCATGTAATAGGGGGTGAGCCCATTGCCATATACCGGGCACAATTCCAGACACCGCGCTGCTACTGTGATTTTTTTTAAAACCCAGTAATACTTTGCCCGACCCGGGAATCGAACCCGAGACCCCTTGCCCGGCAGTCCTACTTGCGACCACTCGACCAATGAGGCAGTCTCTCTATTATCAGTTATTTAATTAATGTTAACTTGTGTTGTAGAATATTATATTTCTTGATATTTTAAGATTTACCGTTTGCAAAATTATGTGCATCTGTCTGTATGTAGCACAACTCTTTGACAATTTTGGAGTTTCGATTACAACGGGGACAACTTTTACCAATCGGGAGCAATTCCAAATTCCGTGTTATTTATGAGAATTTGGAAATTGAAAAAACCACACTGTCCAGCTATCACCATTTGTGCCATAGTGAGTTTTTGCCATAACATACGAGTTACAAATTCTCGGTTTTACCACTGAAATTGCACAGTCGAAAAAGCCAATAACACTTTGTCCCCAACTAGCTTCAAGCGTGGAAATGTCTCGTAGAATAGAACGGAATAAAATCCAACCCTCATCAAGACCAACCAGTCTTCGGTTCTGGACAATTATGTAGATCTTCCTTACTTAGTTCAATCTCTAGCTCTTCGCTTCCAGTCGCTGGTCAAGTCAACATACTTAAATCAGAAATAAAATGAGCAGTTTTTATGTAGGTAATCTATGTTTCCAAGACTTTTCAAATATATTTTACAGTTACATACAACCAGTAGGTATGTACTCAATATACACAATATACTCCCTCTAAACCCGTTATCGAACAATCCAGCAGCCAGTCTAAGTGTAGTGGTTCAAAACGGTTTCAGAAATGTCCCCAGAGTCCGGACATTGGCGTTTCGTGCCGAATGTACCGTGTTATGTGCGGCTGGAACTAAGTGCTGTTCCCAAGTGTTAGGAGTCTGCCACTGGCTGCCTGATGTTGTGTAGTTATGCGGAATATGGAAAAGCTTTTGCAGATTAGAGGGGAGTGGTACTGTTTGTTTGGGAAAATATAATAATAGTAAGTGGTAGGTAATAGATAGGATTTTGTGTATTATTTTTATTAGTAATTACTTTAATATAATAGTTATTATTTATTTTTTTCAAATGTTGACATGAATTTGAAGGATTTGTGAGTACTTTGAGTCCGACAAATCTGACATAAGGAAGTTTAATGACTTTTTCTGTTAATTTTGACATTTCATATGGTTTGGGTTCTGACATGAAGTTGAATTTTTTTATTTCTTTTAATGTTGACATGGTTTTGAATGTGTAGGTACTTATAATATTGTTATAATGATTTTATAACAAATTAATTAATTGCTGTCATTGGTGTAACCACTGTAATTACTATAAATATAAATAAAATTAAAGTGATTTTCAAAATGATCTAGAAATATATAAGCTGATGCAAAGTGCTTTTAGTGGCATTGTGTTATGTTCGATTCTTAAGGTAGCGGGGACTTAAGAGACATGAACTCAGTCTGTGTGCTACTACGAAGCTAAATCTAATTAATAATCTC